TAGATATAGATATAGATATAGATATAGATATAGATATAGATATAGATATAGATATAGATATAGATATAGATATAGATATAGATATAGATATAATACAATAAAACATTATCAGTTATTACTATTATTATTACTAGTCCTCAACTAACAAGTATATCAGACATTAAACTTTCTTTCAAATATTTCTGGTTTTATCACTTTCCTAAATACCAAGTGGGAAAAATTTATACTGATCTCCATGAGACACTATTCCAAAAATTTGTGGCTACTGAGAAGCATTGGCTAATGGCTCTTCTCCTTGAATGAATCATGGATGAGAACTTAAAACCTTCCAATGCATGATCTGTGGACTGACTAGGTTACACTAAAGCAGGTTGTCCTGGAGGTAATTTTAAATAGTCATATAAAATCCATATACAATTTTATACAAAACCAGCACCAAATTATACCCACAGCACTGATTTGTATGTGAATAGGGGCTGTCTGTAACCTGCCAACAACCAAGTTGCTGCATTTTGTAAAGTGCCACTTTTGAGTAGACTTCAAGGAGTCCGTATGGAATACATAACAATCTATGAGAGACGACAAAAGTAAATCTCATCATTATCTCTTTGAAGCTCATTGACATCACTCTTTTTCTCCAAGGAGCACTGACAGTTTTCTTGATCCAACTAATCATGCCTGGATCCCCACAATCCACACCCCAAATTTCTAAAGGAGCCAGGTGGAAAATGGGTTCAGTACACATGAGATGAAACTTGTTCTACTCCAACACCCCAATCCACTTCTTCAGAATTCTCAAGGTTGAATGAATCCCAAGTTTTTACCTTTGTCATCAAATTGGAATATGCTCACTCGGTGTTCAGATTTAAGTAGATTTGAACAATTCTATCAGCTACACTACATGTTGCTCAAACAGGCAACTTTCATGGACCCTTGCTTTCCAACTGGAGCAAAGCTGCTGGGCTTACTCTGATAATGCAATACCATCCCTCTTATTAACCATGGTGTATCCTTTAACATAACCTCATAGCTGTGCATGTTCAAGATCCTTCCCTCTCCCAGGACCCAGCAGAAAACATCATTATCATCAATATAAGACACTCCTTATCTTTTTGTTTGATGTACTACATCATTATCCCTAGACAGCATTGGTGAGTTCTGGACGGTACAGTCCCGTACGGCCATATCAGTAGTAGCCAGGAAAAGCGGCCACCATACTGGTACGGTGACTCATTTGGCCCACCCACTTACATTCCAAGCTGTTTAATAACGTGACAGCATGTGGTGCCTGCACAACCTCCGCCGGCCATCTGGATGTCACAGGGCGGTGGTGTGCACATGTACACGCAGCACGCATGCCTATCTAGGACACTCGGCCCCGTGCACAGCGTACCGGTGCCCCGGGGTCTGAAATTCACCATTGCTAGACAACAACTATTTTCTGATTTCAGTGAAGCCATTATTTAATAAAGGAACTAATGTTCTGATATAACATTCTAGAACTAGCTGCATTTTACCATTTAACTAAGATTGCCTGCAATTCAGGATTGGATTCCTAAACCTGTGTGTGTGTGTGTAAACA